AGACTACCCCTCTGGGGCAGCCTTGACTCTGCTGGGTACCTATGCTTGCTTTGGTAACCTGATAAAGCTGTTTTCTGCCATCATTAATCTGATCTGCTTAAATTGCTCAGACTTCTGAACACTAAAAAAGACATTTTAATAATATATTTCATTTTCACTCTCCCTCTTCCTATCTTTTCTATTTTGAGAGGATTCTGTTAGCCAAATCAAGAGGATATTCAAGAAATTTGCTACGTTCAGCTGTAATGCAAAGAACAAAGTCAATATAGAGTCCCCTTGACAGGAGTCCTTATGGAAGGTGACCCGTGTTCAAACTGCAAATGGAGGATCAGTCTCTGCTCAGGTGCATGCTATGCCAGAGCCCATGCCAACACAAAGGCAGAGCGTGCAATGGTTACAGAATGTGCACTTTGGCACCTGATCACCTACATTTGAATCCCATCTATGCCATTTACAGGCTTTACAACCCCAGGCAAGCTATTTACTCTCTCTGTGCCTCAGTTTATTCTTCTATAAAAGAGGAACAATAATGCCTACCAAATAGGATTTGAGTTAATAAATGGAAAATATTTATAACAGTTCATGGCACATAGTATAAAATTTTCATCTATTATTAGCATTAAATAAGGCAGATTTTAGAGAAGACAAAATCTCAGAGTCACAAGACGGATAAAATTTACAACCTACTCTACGTTTTATTTTTCAGTAGCAAAAACACACATCAAAGGTAAAGAAAAGAATATCCTTTCTTTTCTAATAGAAGAACACTGTGTTAGCCACAAAGGTCAGAGAAACATGAGTTGAGTACAGGATTTGCCAACTACTGGCTGGGTGACTTTGGGGCTAACATTGAAAGATTCATTAAATTTCAGTTTCTCTATCTTTAAAATGGGGATTATAAGAGTTGCCACTACCAGGTAAAAGGCTAACATAGTGTCTGGCATATAGTTAATATTCCATGAATATCAACTGACATAATTATTAAGGTTTTCAGAAGCAGGGACACAAAACAAAAAACAAGTAAAACTGAAATAAGGATAAAGGGTCCAGAGAGGAACCACCCCTAATACGAAAGCTACCCTTTCACAGATGACAGACTTGTGCTGGGGTCAGAGTCAATGCCACAGAGAGGTCCTGTGCATGGTGACATGGCCAAAAGCTATTGTCAGAACTCTTTAATTCATTCCAACTCCCGTGTGTACACTTTCAAACTCCGAAAACTACAGCCGCATTGGCTCCTTAGACCTAGCATTTAATTCCTGGGGAGTTCAAGAAAGATTTCTCCTTGCAGTGATGAGTCCCAGAACAGCCAGATACTGCTTAGCCCTATCTCCTAGAGCAGCCTATTCTGATACCACTTAAATTACCATTCTCATGGGACCACTTTATGCGCTGGGTCCTTGCTCCTGAAATCAGTTATAGACTGCTTGTATAATATACTTGGGAATAAAGTTTTACTCTCTGGCTTGTGCTAATGGCTGCCTGAAAAGAAGAAAAAGGGGTTGATGCAGTTTTTTTTTTTTTTTTTTTTTTTTTTACAAACCATTATAGCTAGAGAATGTATAAGATAATATACTAAGTATTCAGATCACAATAATTTGGGTCATGTCATTATTCACATTATATAATGAAATACTGAGCCAAAGCCATGGAAAGTCACTGAGAATTATAGCCAAAGGGATCATAAAGTTGTCTAGCCCAACACCCTAGTTTTACCATTGAGAAAACAGGTTGAGAGAAGTTACGTGATTTGAACAAGGTCACACAGCTTGTCTATAAAAAAGCTAAAACTAGACCTGAGATCTCCGCCGTGAATTTGACTCTGAAAGCTCTTGCCTCCTTTAGGAATGCAGGTCTCTAACCATCTGTACCTACGCATTACTCAGAAGAAACAAGACTTTGAGAAACCACTACTCTAAACATTGTCTGTATTTTATTTCTACTCACCTTTCTGATAGTACTGCCTTCCTTGGATTAGTTACTTATGTGCATCTTTAAAGTATATACTAGATCATAATCTTCTTAAGAAAAGTTCAGGGCCTCATTTCTTATAGTATTTAATAAACAGCCTTGAAATGGTAAAAATTGAATCAATTTTTGGTGAGGGAAGCTGGGCTGGGCTAGTCAGCATACACCATTAACTCCACAGGGAGAAGACGAAAATGAACGTCAGTCCAATCAGAAATTACAATCCTAAAACTAAGAGACCCCATGGAAATAGCTAGCCCACCATTTCCCAAACTGTGTTCCATGACACACTAATTCTGTAAGGTATGTGTAGGCAGGCAATTAAAATACACTTTAGGAAACACTAGCTGAACAAAGATAAAGAGATTTCTTAAAGTAGAACTTCCTGGAACCTTTAATATGCTCCAAAATAAACCTCCCTCATCTCCCATCCTGAATCATCTCTAAAAATTTACTCTACATTTTTTAAATCTCCATAGGAAACCACAGTAGATATAGGATTCCCCAGCCTTATCTGAGGGATATGCGTTTCCAGGCACCCACTGAATGCCTAAAACCAAACCCGATTGCCATCAATCAAAATATGTTTCCTTTTCTGTTTTCCGTCCACAAACTAAACGCCTTTTCCATCTCAACTAAACACTTATCACACACTGTGGCTGTAACTTTTGCAGTTTCAGGTGTGACAGCAAAACTAATACAGATTTCTTTTTCCTTCTTCACAACTTCAGGAAGACTCGTTCTTACTCTAGGCCTTAGCAATCTCGGCATTTTTTTTCTTTCCTTATTAAGTCAAGAACTTTCACCTTTTCACATAAAGGAAGCAGTGTAGTTTCTTTCCAGCATATCAAAATTGCTAGCATCACTACTCTTGAGCTTTGAGGCCATTTTTAAGTACAGTAAGGGTAACTTCAACACAAACACTGCAATACCCGGATCAGTGATCTGATAACAAAATGGCTACTAAGTGACTAAGGGGAAGAAAGCATGCACAGCATGAGCACGCTGGACAGAGGGAGGATTCCCCCCCCAGGGAGGATGTCAGAGGAACAGTGAGGGAAGAGGTGAGATTTCACTGGGTAACTCAGAATGGCACGAAATTTAAAACTTACGAATGGTTTCTTTTGGAATTTTCCATTTGATATATTGGGGCCGTGGTTGGCAGTGGATGAGACACTGGAAAGTAAAACTGTGGATAAGTGGGGACTGCTGCACTTATTGTCTATTTTTACTATTAGAAATAAAGTTCGATGGTACACAGTCAGAATTCCGTAAACACTTGTTATGTGCACAAGCATGCTATGTAAATTGGGATCCCCAAAGCACATAATATGTATAATTTCAAAAATCTATTTGATCATAAATTCCTTTCTCTCCCCCTATACCCTACACCTATACTGCAAATTCTTATAGAAAGAGTGTTCTATGAAATAAAATCAGGGAAACATTGAGTCTAAGCTAGACCCTGTGGCTCTGGCTGCCTGAAAAACTTCAGAAATGGGGTATAATCCCCATATTTGGAAGACTAGCTCGTTATTCCCCTTCCTCCTTCACCATATCATAAAGTATGAATCCTCATCTTAACTAACCTGAGAGCTATCCCTGAAGAAACTGTCCCAGTACTTGTCATATAAGCACATCCACACATTTCAACTGAAGAATGAGACAACCACTCCATAATGTGTTGCGCTAATTTTTTTTCCACATTAGAAAAAAAAGCAAATAAAAAATTTGCAAAGTTCTGTGAACTACAAGGTCCAACATGAAGAGAAGAATCTTCTTAAGGTTCAATAATCATCCATATATTTTCATATTTTTTCTTATCTAGTTTTACTTAGTCAAAGGCCAAAAGCAGTTGGCCAAGTCAAACATATCCTGAGACACAAAACCGAAAGCCAAGGTCCTATTTCACCTCTCTGTGGAAAACTCTGCTTGTCTGCTCTGAGCTTTAAATCTAAGTATGGCCTTATAACAAGAAGAACATTTTATGTATAGGGATATAATATCGCCTTTGTCATTCTGCACAAGGAAAAAAAAATCCCAAACCAAAGCCCTCAGCTGGTTCTCCCAAATAGCCAAGGAAACCATTACCAAAACCCTTTTCCATTGTAATAATACTCTAAATTCTAATGTTTTCCAGTGGTGCAAATCTTTCTGTTGTCTAAGAGTGATCTCTGAGGAAAGAAGTCAGTCAGCATGAAGCAAGAGTAATTCAAGTTGGTTCTGAGAAAAACGAAAGATTCAGCCACACAGCGGCAGTGTTATGAATACCCTCCTTTATTTTCTCCCCAGGTGCTAGAAATATTTCCAGACAACACTGGTTAATGTCAAGTATCATTTCATCGGTAAATGCTTCAAATTCAGAAGTAATTCAACCAGGGGCTACCAGAAGGAAAGATTAGCATGTTGTCCAGGCCTTTTAAAAATCACTTCTCTCTCTAGAGAAAGAAATTCATCATGGTATAGAAGGAAAAAAAATGTATGGAGAGGATATAATTTGCTCCTATGCTTAGCTGTCTGAGAAAATGTTCCAGAAAAATGCGTGATTTACTCACGGAACAACCCAGAAACACCGAAACTCAGCAGCAAAACAGTCACAGATCAAACTCAGAGCCCAATTCTTAAAAAAAAAAAAAAAAAAAAAAAACAAGAAAAGAAAGAAAACCTATTCTAGTAATAGCCTTCACTCTGGAAAAAACAGCCTGGAAGAGAAGAGGGCCTAAATCATTTCAAATGGAAGAAATAAATACTGTTAATTCCAATAGTTGGGGGGAATGCAATTCAGGAAAAAAAGTGCCAGGAGAGCCTCTGATTGCTACAGTCTGACACAATGGATTTTTACTGCTCTGCCAAGTCCCTGCCATCTGCTATGTTTCCAAAAGTTCACATCTTTTTAGCCATCCCAATTGCCATTCCCCTTTAAAAGTGAGTCTTCTTACAGGAAAACAGAATCTACAATGTAAAATCAGAAGACAGGAAACCAAAAGATGGGGGATCTTCCCTTGTTGCACCCCTTTCCTGCTGAGAAAGAGATGGTAATGCAGGGCAAGGGGAGAGCCAGGGCGTGCTGGGGAGAGGAGGCCTGGGTATATGCAGAGCTGCCGTACATCAGTGAGGTGAAGGGGTATCACGTGATCGTTTTCCAAAGACTGGAAGCTCCAAAAGAAAATGTGATAAACGGTAAGGCATCCTGAAGTTTGTGGAGGGCTTATGAGAGAATAATAATTCAGTTCCAAATCTTACCACATTTACACATGGGACCAGTTCTTGTCCTAGACAAAGCAGACACAGGCTCAAGCAGGTGGTTTTGTAAGTGCTTGTCTATTTGGCTAAACGTTCCCCCAGAATTAAAAGCAGCAACACCGAGTTCATCCACGGTAGGTAGACAATGAAAACCTGCTAAACAAATGAATGACAGGGGTGATACACACTCAACTCTCTAACACGGGATAATATGAGCTATGTCTGACTTGATGAAGATTGGGGTATAAGCAGATGAGGAGCGGGCGAGAAGGAAGGAGAAAATAATTGTGCAAGAAATAAAGAAACAATATATCATGAAATGGCTACGACTCTAAAATAGTATCTCGGGCAGCAATCTGAATGAACTCAGAAGAAGAAACAAAATAGCTTAACATATGTTAATAAAAGGATGAATACACTGCAGAGAGGTAGAAATTATAACATGGGAAGAGGTAAAGAAGATTATTTGGAAATAGGCAGGAATAAACATTCCAAGGATTTAAGAGCTTGCATGTGGGTCAAGAAATACAATCTAGAAGCTTGCTGACAATCCAGAAATCCTGTCAGTCTTGTCTCCTGACATTACCATCACTGACAACTGTGTCTTAGCAAACGAGGCAAAATGCAAATCTTGTCCCTTCAGCTCTCCCACATTCCCCATAAGGTTATTTACTATTGACTGGTGCATATAAGCCCACATTGTCTGAATTGGTACTCAGTGCTAATGAGTCCAAGGTCACCCCTTCCATCACCACATGGGACTACCCACAGAATCTTTCTTCCTAAGAACAGGTCAACATGAACGGCTCTTAACAACCCTCCTTCTCCACTAAAGAGTCCAAGGCTATGGCCAGGTGTGGTGGCTCACACCTGTAATCACAGCACTTTGGGAGGCCAAGGTAGGTGGATCATGAGGTCAGGAGTTCAAGACCAGTCTGGCCAACATAGTGAAACCCCGTCTCCACTAAAAATACAAAAAAAAAAAAAAAAAAAAAAAATTAGCCAGGTGTGGTGGTGTGCGGCTGTAATCCCAGCTCCTCGGGAGGCTGAAGCAAGAGAATTGTGTGAACCAGGGAGATGGTGGTTGCAGTGGGCCGAGATGGAGCCATTGCACTCCAGCCCAAGCAACAGTGTGAGACTCCATCTCAAAAAAAAAAAAAACAAAAAAAACAAAAAAAACAAAAACAAAACAAAACAAAAAAAAACAGTTCAAGGCTGCAGAATCTTGAGTCAGTGGGATCTTCTTCTTATATGCTCCCTTAAGAAAACGTATTTTCTTACAGGGACGGGACATTTGTAGACATTTCTCTAGACACATTTCTGTAGACACAGGTTAAAGAAATTGTCCAAGAACCTCTGTCCAGCTAGTTACTTCAGCATAAGCAACCTCAGCCTCACATACTAGGTCCAGTACAGGGTTAGTATCCCAAGGCAGCCACAGATAGATCAGCTGTGAGATCGCCCAGCCCCTCAGTTGGCCTGAATAGAATGCTGCCCCCTAGAGGTGCTGTCACAGAGAACAATACAAAGCAAGTTGATGGAGCTCACCCTAAGAGAAAACTGGTCTTCTGGATCTCTGCAAATCCTGCTGCACATCCCAAATTCTGATAACTGCATCTTAGCAAACAAGGCAAAATGCAAATCTGGCTCCTTCAGCTCTCCTATAGTCCTCATTCAGGTTATTTACTATTGACTGGTGCATATAAGCCCACATTGCCTGGATTCGTACTCGGTGCTAATGAGACCAAGTTTACTCTTTCAATCACCATATGGAACTACCCACAGAGTCTTCCTAAGAACAGGTCAACATGGATCTTTGGAAGAATTAGAACCCAGGGTGAGTACAGTATGGTCAATGAAGTGACTTCCTAGGACATATTGTATCCTTGAAATGAGGTTACCAAGGACAATCAGCTTGTTTTGTTCTTCCAATCCCCTCTTTGGGATCCTGGTATCATTTTTGGAACTGAAAGCCAGAGTGAGAAGGCAATCCAAAGCAGATGGTTCAAACAGAAAATAAATGTATAAGAACTCAGTGAGTTCAAATCGAGTTAGGGCTGTGGAGACACAGCAGATCACACTTCACAGCCAAGGAGGTGAGGGAGAGAACTAGGGACCAGGGATTGGTTGACTGTGAAAAGAGGATGGCAACCCTACAGCCTTAAGCCACTCACCAGCCTGGCATCTCCACCCTCATCCTCTCCATAGCACTCTTGCTACACCCAACCAGCCGCATTTCTGAAACCTGCACAAATCCTAGCCCTGTCAAAACACTTTAATGCCTTTTCTATGCTTTCAGAATCATAACGACCAAAACTTCCAAAGTGGCCGAAAAAGTTTTGTCAAATTTGAGCCTGGCTTCTTGTTTGGCTTATCTCAAGCTACCCTCTGCTTCCCAGCCACACTGGCCTTTTGTATTGTTCCTAGCAGAGTACTTGCCAACTCGGGAGCTTTGCACATTTCCCAAGTCCAACTGGCTTCCTCTTCCCTGATTTCCCATCATAAATACATGCACAGAGTCACTGCAGCTTCCATATTCCTCAGGACAGATTTATGTGATCTCCAAGATTAGCTATGACCCCTGTTGTGTGTTGTCAGAGCACACACGACATTTCATTTGCAATAATTATTATTCTAAATATATTTTAGTAAGACTATTTGACTAATAAGTGTTACCCCAACTTGAGTATAAACAAAATGAAGGCAGACACTTTCTCTTTGGACATCAGTTACCCACACAAAACATACATACTAGTGGGCACAAAGTAGGTGTTCAATAAATATTTGTTGTTGAATAAACTACAAATGTCTTATGAAACTCCAGGAAAACACAGGACTAGATCAGTGTTTTCCCATAGAATAAGGGGCAATTTTGACCCCCATGGGACATTTGACAATCTCTACAGACATTTTTTGTTATCACAATGAGAAGGATGGTGCCGGCATCTAGTGGGTATAAGCCAGAGATGCTACTAAATGTCCTGCCTAGGATAGCCCCCCAAACACAGAGCACACAGGCCTAATATGTCAATATTGTTGGGGTTGAAAAACTCACTTAGTGGAACTGATGCAACTATAATGGGAAAGGTAGAGCCAATGATATATAAATAGGAAAAAACAATTCCCAAGAGAAATTTTTACATAGATGAGGCACTGCATAGAGTTCTTCCACTGCCATTGAGAGGTTCCAGGGATCATGCTCTAGGCAAGGTGAGCACTGCATGTCTGAGGATAGAAAATTGGGTTCCATTCTACTGGAGCTGGGATGGCTTCCATTGCTACAATGTAAACCTGACTGGATTCTGAGGTTCCCACTCATAGCAAAGAATTAAAGATCCATTACCTCTTGATGGTAGAACCATTTGACCTGATTTCTCCAGGAAGTATTCGCATGTAGCAAGGCTATCAGTCACCCCGACAGCTAGAATCCCCGTTTGTTCCCAAGGATTAATGTTCTTAGTTTTTGGCCAACCTGACTTGTATCTCACTCTTTACAGAAGCATATATTCTGCCAACAAAATCAAGACCCCAGAAGATTAATCTTCGCAGATCAACATAGGGCCACCTCTCCAGAGGCTCACATAATTTTCTCTGCATGATTACCAAGACCACAGCCTCCCAGACCTTCAAGTGGCCTCACTTTTCTATGGCTTTGAGGGAATTATTTTACTCTGCAGCATGGTTTATGAGACAGTGGCTGTCATATCCTGCCCCACATTGTGAAACCAAGCAAAATTCCCTACTTCTACCCTAAGCTACAATAACCTAAACAGATTTTAAACACCTCTTCTTAATATCAACAGCTCCTGCAAAGGAAATAGGAACACTGCTTTGACAAGCCTTAAACTAAGGAGGCTCATTCCATGTAGGTAAGTAGACTATTTGCTTCTAGTCTACCCCTGGGTATATGTAGTTAAAAATCAAGTATACAGTTTGCCATTAATTATGTATTACAAATAAATAGTTTATACAAGCATATGTAAACTGTGAAAGGGGAAAAGCAGCAATTTTGAGCATCCACAGCAGATGTTTAGGGCAGCTGTACAGGGAAACTGACAAGAATTTAGATGAAATTTATTTTAATGTCCCATAAGAGTGAGAGAAAGTTTGTTTAACCTTTACCAAACTATTCCACCCAAGGAGTTTAGATCTGAATTTTCTTTTGGAATAGATTTCTATTGTTGTGTTTAACATGCCTTTCCTATTTCCTTGTTTAAAAAAAAAAATCTAAAAAGCTTCAGTGATTTGACCATTATAAGCAAATGTCATTCAGCCATTACAAATATAAGCCCAGAAATTTGCTTTTCAACGTCTATGTGTTGGCAGCAAATGTTATGAGTAAATGATACTAACAAAGAATTTAGCAACAGAAAATTAAGTACGACAAGTACTTCAAAGTTTTAACTTGAAGAATCCAGTAGACTATACTATCGTTTTCAAGAACTATTTTCTGACGGGCACAGTGACTCACATCTGTAATCTCAGCACTTTTGGAGGCCAAAGTGGGTAGATCACCAGCGGTCAGGAGTTCGAGACCAGCCAGGCCAACATGGTGAAACCCCATCTCTACTAAAAATTAGACAGGCATGGTGGCAGGCTCCTGTAATCCCAGCTACCTGGAAGGCTGAGGCAAGAAGATCACTTGAACACAGGAGGCAGAGGTTGCAGTGAGCCGAGATCCCACCATTGCACTCTAGCCTGGGCTACAGGAGGGAGTCTGTCTCAAATAATAATAATAATAAATAAATTTTAAAAAGAATTATTTTCCAGAACAAAAAGAAAAATTTTAGCTCTCAGCCTCATGTGGCTAACAATACCATCCTTCCATTACTTTTAAGTTTTTAGGAGAAAGAACAAACGATAAAACTGGCCACAAATTACTTAGACTAAATGTCCTGAACCAGAAATTTGGGCAACAACTACCCTCTGCCTCACACATATTTTTGCAAGATCAAATACCAGGCATTCAAGAAATATGAACTGAGTTGGGAAACAGCAGCCAACAGCTAAGACAGAACAAGCTCTTACCGAGTTACCAGATCTTCATATTGCTGCTATGTTATGTAACCTAACTTCCAGGTTTGTATTTCTAGAGCCAGGGATGTTAAGAGGCAGGAACTTCAGGGGATGATGAGAGCGGCAGCCTCACCAGGGAGGTAAAACGATGGTTCTGAGGGCTGAGTATATGTCACACAGGCTGGCACATGGCAACAATAAAATGAGGGCCCAAGCCCTGGACCAAGAGTAAGTGGTTATAATACTATCATATTTTATGGAAGTCCAAAGAACATGCTTATTTATTATCCTCTCACAGAATCTCAGATGAAAGTCATACAGCCTAGGAGTCTCCTCCTCCTACTCAGGAGTTTACTTGGATCCAACACTTCACTTCCAGACCATCAAGAAAATTATCTGATAGTTTAAGATTATTTGATTTTCTTCATCAAATACCTTGTGGTTATTTGGTTGTATAAAAAATGGCCAAAAAATTTACTTCTGTTCTAGGCCATCATAATATTGATCTCTCTACTAAGTAAACATGAAGCAGACAAATTATTTGTATAATTTTGCCCTTTACAGTTCATGTAAAGATTATATCAAATATTTATCATCTATATTATAAGACCCACATAGAATCCATAGAAGTCAGAGACCCCTCTTTTGGAGGCAGTGGAGACGCAAGGGCTCCTGGCCGCCCACATCCACTGTGGTGGGAAAGCAGTCCCTGGAACTGACCATATACTGGCAGGAGGACTCAGACCCTGAGAACAAAAACTTCTATGAGAAGAACCCAGACTCCCATGGTTATGACAAGGACCCTGTTTTGGACATCTGGAACACACGAGCTGTCTTCTTCTTTGGTGTCTCCGTGGTCTTGGCCCTTGGCAGCACCTTTGTGGCCTATCTGCCCGACTACAGGATGCAAGAGTGGGCCTGCTGTGAAGCTGGGAGGCTTGTGAAATATCAAGAGCCAAAAGCCTTCCCATCCTGGAATCCAACTGCTTCCGCCCCAGCAAGATCCAGCTGCCAGAGGATGAGAACTGACCAGTTGCTGAGTGGCGCTCAAGAAGCACCACCTTCCCCACCCCTTGCCTGCCATTCTGACCTAATTCAAGGGCTGAAAGTCTGAAAAAAGAAAGAATTCCACAGGATTCAACACATACAATCTGATGTTTTGGAAACTTTGGACTTTGTTGTGTCTGTTTGATTTGGGGATTGGCTTTGGAATAACTGTCCTACTATATCTTCTTCCTTCTCCACTAATTCCATTTTAATTTCATTTTAAATTCCTTTTTTTTTTTTTTTTTTTTTTTTTTTTTTTTTTTTTTTTGAGATGGAGTCTCGCTCTGACGCCCAGGCTGGAGTGCAGTGGCACGATCTCCGCTCACTGCAACCTCCACCTCCTAGCTTCAAGCAATTCTTCTGCCTCAACCTCACAAGTAGCTGGGACTACAGGCATGCACCACTATGCCCACCTAATTTTTGTATTTTTAGTAGAGACGGGGTTTCACCATATTGGCCATGGTGCCCACCCTCAATTTCCTTTTATAGTATATTCATAATTTTTTGTGAGACAGTGTCCCCTTGATCCCAGACTAGGTCCTCCTCAAAACCACTAACCTACGATTGCAAAAACCAATGTGCATATACTTAACACTACTGAACTGCACACTTAAAAGTGGCTAAGATGGTCAAATTAAAATTTTTTTTTGCACAATTCAAAATAAAATACAAATGTTTCTAAATAAGCCTTTTTTTTAAGGGATGGGACTTATAAGATTTTTTATATAACGTACAGAACACCTGAGCTTTACAGCAGAGCCACAATATTTTTGGAATGAGAGTGGGAGGGAGTAATTATTGACTACATAATTTCATACAATTACCTCACTTAAACCCAAAGGCATACACAATAATTATAATACATCACCTTCTGTCCATCATCTCATCCATTGCAAAACTCTCTTGCCTGTCAAGAAAGCCACTTAACCTAAATAAGAAGTCAAAGAGTGAAACTTTCAATTTCAAATCATTTGGGAATTTTGCATACATTCAGTGTCTAAGTCAGGAGGGAAAGATAGGTGGGGATTACTTTTCCTTTTTTTTTTTTTTAAACAAAAACAAGTATTTCACTTTCTCATGTAGACCAACAGAAGACAGATCTAACATATAAGATGGGAAGAAATGGACTAGAGGTGACTTCCAAAGATATTCAAAGTGAGCAGAGGACAGAGATGGTTTCATGTCTAATGCTGCTGCTGCAGCATCATCAGACATCATGGCAACATCATCAGACATTTCATGTGGTAAGCACTTCTCCTTTGTAATATATGCAGAGCTCATCAAGATCCTGGTGACACCAGTTCCTTCTGGATGAAAATTTCCACAGGTCTAATCAATGATGAACACACAGGGCAGTCCCTACAGCCTGACATTCCCTCACAGGAGCCTAATTTAATTGTGGCCAATTCTTATCTGAGTCAGCTCTTCACCCACAGAAGAGAGCAACTCTGAACAGGTTTCACACATGCTGGCCTGGGGCTGTTTCAACATCTTCCATAATTGAGGCAGCTATCTTTCTCCTCCAAGTGGTGTTTCCACATTCTACCAGGGGAAAAATAATAAGCCAGATATGAATGAATGGCATTATTTGCAAGCGGGGTGTGCCCTCTTAACTTCTGGGCAGAATCACTTCTTTATAGACAGTATTTGCTAGAATCCTATTGTAGATGATTAAAATCAAAAAGAAAGAAAGAAAAAAAAAACATAGGCAATACATCAGCCTCTTTTGTAGAAAGCATAAAATGGATCCTGATAAAAGTGGAACCTGCCAAAAGTCGTAAGGCATAATTTCATTAAATTTTAGTTTTGTTAAAATTAAAAATGTACTACTCTTACTTTTAAAGATTTACCAAATGGAATGATGTTACTCTCCCCCACTTTTTTTTTTTTTTTTTTTGCTCTGTCTCCCAGGCTGGAGTGCAGTGGTGAAACACGGTCTCAGTCTTTCACCTAGGCTGGAGTGCAGTAGTGCAATCATGGATGGCTGCAGCGTGGACCCCCACACCCCCAGGCTCAGGGGATCTTCCCACCTCCACCTCCTGAGTAGCTGGGATCACAGGTGTATGCCAGCACACCTGAATTTTCCTATTTTTAGTAGACACAGGGTTTTGCCATGTTGCCAAGGCTAATCTCAAACTCCTGGGCTCAAGCAATTGACCTGCCTCAGCCTCACAAAGTGCTGGGATTACAGGCATGAGTCACCCGCACTCCACCTCCCCCTTTAAGTCATTACACTCTTTTCTTCATGATCTCACTTTAAATGAGAGGACACGCAAAATGTAAACATTTGAATATTGTCAACTACTTTGCTTACCAATTCAATTTTCACCCTCAATTTTCTCACCAACTGTTACCTACTTAACTGAGGCAAAAATGACAAAGTTTTTCTCCCCTTTACCATTTGTTAGGGGGAAGGGAACTCAAGGGAGACCCATGATTAAAGAGATATTTTAGGTAGAATGTAAATGCTTTGTAGCTCCTGGGTATGAGATATAACTGAGGAGAACACTGACCAGCCCAATCTTTCTTAAAAAATATCTTGCTACTGCTTTCACGGAGAAAAAAGTACTTTTAAGGTAAAACATATATGAGGCAGAAGTAGAGAGAATGATAATTTGCACATAATTAGAGCTTATTAAAAAATCTTTCATAGTTTTTCTAGTTTTTGATCAAGGCTAGAATCCGGAGAATTATGTTACAGGAGTTGCATAATTATGATTATGTTACAGGAGTTGCAGCTTCAAATTCTCGACCAAGTAAGGGTATTCCGAGAGAAAACACACGTGTATAAAGAAGAGAAGATGGCAAGGTGCAGAGTGACAGCTGGATGGACACTGATGACTTACTGCACCTCCCTACTGGCCACAAGTCCCATGGCCAGCTGCTGCTTCACTTGAATCCTTGACTGTTATATGAGAGTTTTGATGATTCCAAGGTATGTCAGAGAGTTGAATTACTAATATGACTTAAAGAGAATCTGAAAAACACAGGAATCACTATTACGATAAACATTAGTAACTTTACAAAAGATCAGACCAATGGTGCTTAAGCCCAATACCACTGACATGATTCCACATGTGGAATCACAAAGCAGCTGAATGACTTCAGAAAGCTATTTGACCCCTCTTCATTCCTACCCAGTCATTTGAGTAGGACTTATAAGTATCTGGCCTTCTATTCTGCTGATTTTCAGCTTGGTTTCCAGTTGTTATACATAAAAATATGGGCCAGGTGCAGTGGCTCACGCCTGTAATCCCAGCACTTTGGGAGGCTAAGGTGGGCAGATCACAAGGTGAGGAGTTCGAGACCAGCCTGACCGACATCGTGAAACCCTGTCTCTATTAAAAATACATAAATTAGTCGGGGGTGGTGGTGTGTGCCTGTTATCCTACCTACTCAAGAGGCTGAGGCAGGAGAACGGCTTGAACCCAGGAGGTGGAGGTTGCAGTAAGCTGAGATCGTGCCATTGCCCTGCAGCCTGGGTGACACAGTGAGAACTCTGCCTTAAAAAAAAAAAAAAAAAATTATGCTTGGGTTCTTGGCATAAACTTGGAGCCATTAATTACCTAAAATTTCTACTTTTGAAAGCTGAGATCATTTAAACCCCACTGTTAAGTACACTGGTTCTGCAACTCAATTTAATTCAACCAACATTTATGAAATACCTAGCAGAGATCAACTTCAAGGAACTTAAGGGAGAAAAAATGCTAATATAACATGGCAAATACTATAAAGCTAGGAAACAAAGGGCTATGCGGACACAGATCGGGGATTAATTGCCGTGTGGGAGCAGGAAAGCAGAGGAACTCTATGGAAGAGGACGTAATAAACAATATCTTACCAAGTGCCTACCAATTGTCAGATATTGCGATCATATATGCCTTAAATTCATTATTTTATTTTATTCTCACAGTAAAACTACTGGGTATCATTATCTCCATTTTATAGATGGTAAAACTGAGGTTTGAGGGTTCCCAAGGGAGTCAATACAGTCGTGGGTTTTTAGTTTATGTTTCCGGTGAGGCCAGTAAAGCCCCTATACCTCAACCCTCTATTCCGCTTATCACTAGAGACAGAAACCAAAAGCCATGGCTTCAAGCTGCCGAAACCCTAAAACAACACAAACAGAACAACAGCAACAAAGTAAGGCAGGTTGGACGAGCTTCGTTAAGGTCTTTGGCTATGTTTCATTCATACGTGGTAGAGCTATAATTACAGCTTGAGTGTATTTCATTCCAATGCCTAGGCTCCTACCTACCATGTTATTATGCTCTCATCTGAGGTAGACCACAGAAAACAGAATTCTAATGAGTAATTGGAATCTTTTTGGTCCGAAATCCAGAGGGAGCAGAAGAAGTCAAAACCCAGATACAGGAAAGTGTAAGAACTGTCTGAGAAAGACTCGGTGACCCGGTTTAGCTCAACGGCAGGAAGCTCGTGCCCAGGGTGAACAAGGCTCAAGCCTTAAATGTCAAAATGAAGCCTTGAACTTCAGCCTTGGACACTTCAGGAGCCCCCTCCCTGCATGTTTTTTCCTTTAATAATCAGGTTAGCACCATGATGGAAGAGATGCTTCAGGAAAATGATGGCTCCTGTAGCTAACATGTGTGGGATGTAATTGAGAGGAATACATAGATAAGAAGCAGAGAGGTTTGATAAAGAGCCTGAAACTGAAAAAGGCTATCTTAAGAAAACAGCTTGGCCCTAAGTCAAGTTTATTTATCCCAGCTTTAGTGCTTTCTATATGTATTGTTGCTTAACGTATTATTTTCCACTTATAAATCCCCATGGTTACATGCCCAAACTATTTTTAGTAAACAAATTTTCTAAATGAGTGGGTCTGAAGAATATAGGCTGGAAAATTCCATTTTAAAAACAAAGAAAATCTGAGTTCAGTTTTTCAATTACTTTAGACTACATTGTGTTAGGACATTCACAAATCCAAAGACAAGAAGGTTAGTACCTCAGTTCTGGAGTATCTAAGTCCATGATAAAGGAAAAGAAGTCAGGATGTGGTTTTACAGCCACTTTGTAAGAAAGGTCAGCTGCTTGCAAAACACCCATGACAGACA